GTTTATTTACTTTATTTTTAGTTTAGAGACTTAAATGCAATTTGAGATAAGTTTGGGACTTAAATGGAGTTTTTGCCTATGAATTTAAAAGTAGTATTAATTTTTTAATATTGATATTACTTTTCATTTGCTTTTATAGTTAAAATATTAAAATAAGAAAATATTATTAATAAATAAATATAAAAATAATTTTATTAAGTAAAAATATTTTAATAATTATTTATAAAAAATATATAAAACTTTGTTTTTAATTCACTTCTTATATTAAAAAAATTCTTTAGATCAATACATATTTTTTTATTTATAAAATTTAAATTTAAAACAATATTAAAAAAAATAAATTCTTTTTATTTGCCCAACAAATAGTTGGGACAACTTCGTTGATTGAACATTAAAAGGTCGAAAAGGAATTGAAGTTCCACTTGGAATTGGCTCCTTTTCCACCTCTCTTGCTCTAACAAGAAACCCAAAAAATACAAGGAAACGGTGAAACGGACGTTGCAATTTTACGCCTTTGACTTTTTTTCCGTTTTAAAATGTATATCATCCGCCATACCATTCTGATAAAATCCGCGAGAAGCAACCGTGAAATCTCCATTTCCATTTCCCGAGAGCGAGGCAGGCCGACCAGAGACGACCATTTTTTAAATCTTATCGACGAGGAGGACAAGAACAGGAACAAGAACAAGCTTATCCATTCTTCTTCCCCCTTTGTTTCAAGATCTCTCTTCTGCCAGCCTTGCTCTCGATTCAGGTAGCCTTCATTTTGTTATTGTCGTTTATCTTCATTTTCTGTAAAGATCGGTGGTGGTGGTGGTGGTGGTGGTGGTTGAGTCAATTTGGGAGTGTTTGAGTTCTAGCTAGCTAGGGATTCAGATCGCGTTCGATTTTGGAATCAAATGGCCACCGCTGCGGCTTGTAAGCGCGTGACGCAAATTGGAATCAATTCAGGTGTAAGCGTTGCCAGATTTAGAGGATTTGGTTCTCCAACCGCGGTGTCGCCTCCGGATAAGCCAGCTTTTGATCCTTCGTCCATACCGTTTTCGGCACCATACCGACATTGTGATTGCAGACAGATTTCTCAGCTCGTCCAATCTAATGGAAAGCGTTTGTTTCTCGTCGACACATTAGCTCTGGTAATTGCATTGCAACTTAATCTCATTTCCTTTTTCTTAATTTTGTTAGGAAGGAAATGAAATGAAATGGTTTTTATGTGAAATATTTATTGTTCTTTAGAAGTCTAAAGTGTCTAAGCTATAAAGAATTAGGATGCCAGATTTGTGATTGCGTTTGTTTGAATCTAAATTAAGAGTGTTAGAAAATGAAGAGTAATTGTGTTGCATTTTCTATAGGTTAGGAGGTTAGAGGCAGAAGGTGTGCCTTCGAAGCAAGCTGAAGCAATAACAGCTTCCATAACTGAAGTTTTAAATGACAGCTTGGAAAATGTGTCTCAGTCTGTTGTTTCAAAGGCAGAGATGCAAAGAGTAAGTTTTTTTGAGTTTCCATGGTTGTGTAAATGTAAGGTGGTTTAAATGTATTGCGTTTGCCAGTAAGGCTTGTGTTGTTTTCTATTGCAATTAAGATTTTTTCTGATGAGATGACTGTTCTTCTTGGTAGACCGAGATGATTCAAGAATCCAATTTGTCCAGATTCAAATCTGAAGTTCAAAGCTCCCAGGTATAACTGCCTGTCTGTTGCATTTGTTACACCCCTATTTGTTGCTATATTGGAGATTGTAGGCATCTAAGTTTTAATGTAACTCTTATAGTTGAATGTGAATATGTTGGATTCAGTAGGAAATGGTACTGTATGTTGAATTCAGTTCTGTTGATGGTAGACAGCTGGATGTTTTGAATCTGGCTAATCATTGCAATTGCAAACAATGTTTCTGCTTCAGGTCTAATGGTTCGTTCCCAAGTCTTTGTACTTGGGTTGGGTTGGTCAGGAGTTCAAGTCCCACCAACTACTTGAATATCTGCACTTGGCCTACGGGCTATCGGTGCTTTTCCCAGCCCATGGGTTGGGCCCGTTCCCCTAAAATTGCCCTTGTTCAAAAAAAAAAAAGAAAAAGAAAAAGAAAGAAAGATCATAGGTATTTGTACACAGATAATGTGATTGAAACAGATGGATTACCGTAAAGTTTTTTTAGACTTGGGTTTCTGTTATTTTGCGTGCATACCTCTTAATAATCGAAGATAGCTTGTTATTCTTTGGCCAAGAAATAACCTAATTCATAGGTACCCCTCTCCTCTAAGTCTAAGTAGAGAGTTTCCAGGTCAAATCTTCTCCTAAACCTTTTTTTAACGGTAAGGCATTTGGTATGTATTCCTAATTGCTCCTGGTGTTTGAGCTGGCAATTTTGCATTATCTTGTCTTTTGGTTGATGGCATGAAAGATGCTTTCGGTGCTTTCGCAAGCTGTCATTTCATCTGTCTTCATTTGGTGGATGTCACGAAAGATGCTCTCAGTGCTTTCCTTTTGTCTTTAATGGTTTATTTGTACATTTGAGAATGGTTAAGTGTATCTATTGTTAATGTTATGGGAAATAACTTTAGACTCTGAAACTCATTCTTGAATAATATGTAATTGATTGAGTGGAGTGAAATACCAAGAAATTATCTGTCATAAGCATTTTTTTATACCATAATAAAGTACCTAGAGCACTGACTCATTTTCTAATGAAAAAACATCAACTTAGCTCTTAAACTTTTATGCTTTTTGAAAGATGCATTTCTAATATACCATTATCTCATCTGGCATAACTTTTGGTGTGTGGGGAGAGAAGAACATTGCAGTAATCAAGCACTATGGATTGTAGCTAACTCGTACTACATTTTTATAAGCTGATTTTTCATCGAGGCATGAAAAATAAAGATTCCCTCCCCATTTCTTGACTCTTGTTGAGAGTTCCACTTGTTCAAACCAAGGGCCAATTACTCTTGGTATTAATCTTTATTTGTTGTATTGTTCTTTATCCAAACTTATTTAAAGAACTAAATTGAGGCAGAAAAAAGTGAGAAGTCTTGCACCCTTGATTTCTGACTTCTGTTGGGCTCTCTATAAGTTTTGAATCTTAAAGAATCCTTGTTTATTCAGATGAGAGTGGTTATTTTTCTGAACAATATATTTTCTGCAGGATCATCATTTTTCTTTATTGCAACATGAGACAGAAAAACTTCGTGATGATATTGAGAAGATGCGGAGTGAGTTAAGGTCTGGTTATTTAGTTCCATGACTCCTATCACCATGTGAACTTCCATTCTTATGTTATATTGAAAGGACTGATATTGATGCAGGCATGAAATTGACAAAGTCACAGCTGGACAGCGTTTGGATTTGAATCTTGAAAAAGGGTAAGGAAACTAAAATACCTAAAGTTCTTTTGTTTGATCTATGCCTGCTAAAGTCCCTCTTGCAGTCTCACACTCTCACCTCCCTAATCATTGCTCTATTTGATATGCATGGTTTATGACAAGTCCAGGAGAATACAGGAGGAGCTAGCAAACCAGAATGCTGAAAATTGTAACCTAACAAACAAACTTGATCGGGTTAGTTTATTAGTGGTATATAAAAAAAGGAGGTATGGTTTGCTATTGTTGTTCTGATTTATGACATTTTTCTTTGGAATTCCCCCTTGCAATTTTCAGGAAATTCATGCATTAAGGGCCCAACTGGAAGCAGCAAAATATGATGTGATAAAGTCCTGCATAGGTACTCTCGTATCCATCTCTGCTGTTGGTCTTGCTACTCTGCGCATCTTAATATGAACATGTAACATTGTAATCCTAAAAGAAAAAGGAAACAGCTCATTATTTTTGCAAAAGCTGTTGTTTGTAACATTTGAGAAAGAAATAGAAGGAAAACTTGAAACACAATGTCACTAACCATTGTAAAGCCTCATTATTTTCCAACGGAATGGAATATACATTCATAAATAAGGAAGTCTCTTCATATATGAAATCTGTCACCGGTATTCTAATTTGATCTGTATGTTGGGATTAGATTTTTTTTTTTTTTTTAATCCCTTTTTTTTCCTACTCAAAATGATTTCTTTTGTTTCCTACTCTTTTGAGTCACTGTGACAATAAATATCTCCTTATCCAGTAATTAAGAGGTTTATCTAGATGTTAACATTTAAATAATTTAATAGTAATTTTTTTTATTGTAAGTACAAGATTTTAGATTTAAGTCAAATAGCATACGGATGAGATAAAGTAAAACATAAAAAAAAGTTGTTTTATATTGTACAATTAAGGTAGAATGAGTAAGGTGTTTTGGGTCCGTAGTGGCTTTCAATCACAATAGACATGATATGGAGCCTACAAAAAAACAACTCAATGGTTGTTGCATGATTGATTGGGGCGTTACCATCACTGTTACGTCTGAAAGTATCCAACTAGAAGTTAGAAAGGCATTACCTGTCGCAATACGCCATGCAATGGACAACTGAACCAACCATCCATAGTGTGTTGTCAAAAAGCTCTGGTTCACCAATATCCGATGGTGATTAGTCCAAAACATCGTCAAAGAAGAGGCGCTTCAAATTTCTCCTTTCACATTCACACCTAGTGTTGACAAATTGATTGTCAGTCCATTTCATCTTACCTCCGTTTCACATTCTCAATTGATTAACTACAGAATTTCGAGTCTTGTATATATTAATTAAGTGAAATAATAAATGATATTTTTTTCAGAGATAATTATGTGAATCATAATTTTACGATTATTGATAAAATGAATCATTTCTGTTAGAAA